GTGAACGCTTGATCATTTGAGTCGATGTCCAACATGTGATCTGATTATTTTTAGATCAGCTAAAAGTGATTAACAGGAAATTTTTTAAGGAATTTGAACAAAGTGAAGCTAAAACTTCCACTTGAGTAAAGCATATTTACAGAGACAGAATTTCTTTTTTTTTTTTTTTTTACTTAAATACAAATCGTATATAATTTTTTTTTTTTTTGTGGCAGTTTTGGCTTAATTTCTGCTCTGGATTTGTTGTTCTTTCAACAATTTTTCTTTATTGAGTCTTCTCTGGCTAACAATTAATAAATAACTAAATTAGTTGATGAATTGAATAATCGATTATTCAGGATGAATGATTCCATCCTGATTAATCGATTATTCGATTCATAACTGGGGTTTTCTGCCAGAACAGCCCAGTTCCCACCGGCCTCCTGCTGCAACAGAGCAGCTCCCAGGGACACCTCAGCGTCCATGCAGGAGCGTCCATGCAGGAGACGGGTGGCGCCGCCTCTGCTCACGTGAACCACGTTGTGGGTTGTTGTGAAAGTTTCTCCAGGGGGAGGAGGGAAACCGCAGAGAGCCTCTGGTAGGCATGCTGAACTCAGAAACCCCACAGGCTCTCAGATGCAGGACTGAAACCGTGCCAGGGGTCAAATGTCAAATACCTGCAGCAGATTACAGTGAGATAAAACCTGGGAGGAGACTGGAGGAACGCTGCAGACACAGATTCACGTGAAACCGGCAGGACCAGAGCAGAGAGGCACTGGAACCAAAATGACTGCAGCTCAACACAGAGCAAAACACCCAAACTCGTCACGCTGACTCATCGCCTTTAAATCTGTCACTTCTTCTTCTGATGCCGACATCAGGTAGTAAACAGTTCTGTTCAGTCCGCTTGGATCAAACTCCAGTCCGTTTCACTAGAAAGTCCGGTTCGTTTGGGGAGGCGTGAATGCTAACTGAACCAAAAAGTGAACTCTGGTTCAGTTTGAACGCATATTTAAACGCTCAGCAGACCAGAGACCAGATCACCAATATTTATCAGACTTATATACAGAGAAGTTTAACTGAAGCTTCAACCACAATCCTTATTTAAAAAGGAACTGAATGATTTGTGTATTGTATTGTTTTATGCATTTCTAATATATTAGAAAATAAGCTTCAGTGGTTAATTTTATTTTTTTTTTTAAATCAGCAGAATGTCAGTTTTTAAAAAAAATCTGATTAATCATCAAAATAAATCGATTGATTGAGGATGAAAAATTACCCAAATTAACTGTTAGCCCCAAAAAGCTGCTCAGGTAAAATGCAAAAAAACAAAAGATTGATATGGAGCAAAACAACGTGCCCAGAAAAATTTGATTGCGCATCACCACAGTGAAGCATGGTGGTGGGAGCATAATGCTGAGGGAATGCATTTCTTTGGCAGGAGAGACATAAATCCTGGAGGAAAACCTGTTAAATGCTGCAGAATTTAAAACCGAAGCTCTCGATGTGACGCAGCTGGAACGATTTCAAACAGGAAATCTTCAGTTTGTTGCCAAGTAAAGCTGGTAGCAACTTGCAATAAAATGCATTTCTTCATTACTTCATGTTGCTCCGCCATTTAAAACTGTTCAAACTGTGCAGCTGCTGCATGACGCCAAGCTGCTGCAGGCAACCAGAGGCTGGAATTTGGAATTTCACTCAGGATCAACGCCGATATAAAACCTCCAGCTTCAGTTCATCACAGTTAAACTTGAGTTAAACTTGAAAGGGAAAAAACCAAAATCCCAGAGCTAAAAGGTGATTGCAACACCTTTTAGATCATTTGGGTTGTTCTCGTTTACAGCTTAACTAGTTTACAGCTAATAAAACACGACGATCTCTTCCTGGCTGGCTGGTTTGTCTGAGCCAACTGTGACGTCCTCAAACTGCAGAACTCTGTGTACTGAGAACAGGAAGTACAGTTTACAGAACAAAAACACGGCGCATAAACAGACACGACGTTTCAGTTTGATCATGTTGCATCAGCAACCAGATCCAGATTGAGGTCCAAAAGCCGCCGTGTGCAGGCGGCGGAGCGTGCCAAGTCATGCCCACTCCCACAGCTGTCCTGAAACTTCACCGCGACTCCGCAGGAATGAGAAACTCCACACATCGGCTCTGCGGATTACCGTAAGGGAGGAAAACGTTTCTGCTTTCAGGGGTCGCCACATGAGACCAGGGGTCAAGAACGGCAAAGAAAACATTCTAAAATATTCCACAGGATGAATTAAGGATAATTTACACTAAATAATTTGAATCAGTGGAGGCAGGAGAGAGAAGCTGAAAGAGCAAATGTAAAGCTGCTGTTTAGGGCTAAAACAATTAATCATGATTAATCAATTACTCAAATAATATTTAACCAATTCCATAAATGTTTAATCAAAAAATGATTGAGCAACAACTGTACAAAAATTATGTACATTTTACAGTTAAGATAAAGTACAGTTTTTGTTTGTAAATACTTTCTATCCAGAATTACTCAACCGTCAATTTTAGCTTCACTAGGTTCAAACTGTGTAAAAAACAAACAAACAACAACAAAAAGAAACAGATCAGCGTTTATACCACGTCCAGAAAGGGTTTAACTTTTCATGTTTATGTTAGAAGAGTTTTCAGCTGCAAAAGACCAAATGCTATTATTGCATTTTAGGCAAGAAAATGTTTATCGTCTTATCTGAAGGAACTGAACTATTATTATTTATTTGCATCTTTAAATGTGTTTCTAATACTGTATAAATAAAATGTGCCATTCAGACACAATCAGGGTGTAACAGCTTGGCCTGAAAACAATAAATTAAAACAAACTCAATCATTTCCATTTGCATGATTTATCGCTTTTCTCCTTTTCTACTGAAGTCCTTTTTGTGAAGGACAGTTTTGTTTAGAGAGACTTCATGTTTAATTTATCGTCCGATAAAATTAGTTATTGCGACAACCGACTTTCTGAGTCATTTCCAAGGAACTCTGTGAAGTGTGCCAGGATTTTCACCATTAGGGAAACAACAACTGCTGCCCTGAGGGCATCATCCACCGTTACGGCTTTGAAACAGACAACCAAGCTGTGGAACAGCGTTCACATCGAACACCAAGTTGAAGATGCTGAACCAGTTTCAAGAAGGACTGCCGCACCGCGCCGCACCGACTGAGGGAACAAACCGGGCTAGGCGCCCAACTCGCTCATCGAACTCGCTGGAATCCATTTGGACGGTGGGAAACAACGACATTTATCATGAAATTGCCACCACATCACCCAGACGTATCGATAGCTGCAGAATGAACTGTTTATTTACACTTTTGTAAACAGACTGTCCACCCTGTTATAATTACAGGCTTGGATTACTTGGAGTAGTTAGGATAGATACTGATCACAGCAATTAGCAGTGTTCACCTGAAGCCAGGTGAGTTCAACCTTCCACAATAAAACAGACACTACATAAACAACGCTGCTGGCTTCTGAGTTCAAAACAAACAGAAGAAACACAGATCTGCTCCACACCTGTCAAACTGAAAGTGACTAAAAGTGTTTAGAAATGTGCAAAACACAACAGGAAGGAAGCCAGACTTCAAGAACGGAGACCTCTGCAGTCAAAATCGGACAAAAAAAATCACAAGAAGAGAAAAAACTTTGGCAAGAGGGCGGAGTTTAAGAGAACAAACTGTCCTAGATCAGAGGACAAACTGTGGTCATCATCTGTGTCAATGGCAGTGTGTGTGTTTATGTCCTCTGGAGTCTGAAACTGACTGAGAACATAATCTGGATTGTGGCCATGTGGATGAACTATATTTACCGAGTAATGGAGGATTACAGCAGGAGCTTTATTACTGTCCTGCAGCAGGAGAGGGACACAAATACAAACACTGGAGTTATTTATCAAACAATGGAGTAAGAGCACAGATAATTTCAAATTGTTTTTTTAATACAATTAATTGAAATTACATTTATATAAATAATTTAGACTTCTGCATAAACAAAAATAAAACACTTTTACCCTGAATGTCACCAGAACAGAGGAACTATCTGACCTTCTGCTGCAGCTCATTTTTTACAGGAAATACGGTAAAAACAAGCAGCACATAAACACCGACTCTCAGCAGACATTTCTGGCCAACGTGAAATTAAAAGCGAGTCTGAATCCACGCAGAAAGCCTCCGTCTGTGACCGTGGCGTAAACAATGGGGCAGAAACCAGAAGCAGGGCCCCACCGGAGCCCCTCCACGCCACACATAGGACACATTTTCCCCGGTTTGGCGAGCAAAACGGAGAAATTAGCTTAACACGCAGCAGCGGATTTAGCTCCTTTAATTCAGACACCAGAGATGCGGCCGTTTGTTCTCGCAGCCGAATTCGCTTCGGAAAATTTCGAGTAAATTCTCCAACATCTGAATCATGTAAACCCAGTTTTCATTAAAAAAAAATAGTGATAAATAAATGGATCTCACCGTTTAACCGCCACGACCGCGTCTTCCTTCTCCATGTTTCATCAGAACACCAAAGCAAAGTCTCTCTGTTTCCTCACGACGTTCAGTGAAGTGCAGAGCGGCGAATAAACTGATATCACTGCGCGGAGATAACGACGTCAACGGCTAGCACGGGCCACTTCCGCTCTTCCTTTCAGAATAAAAGCCTCACACAAACTCAGCACCGAAAACAATGCAAGTTAATATGAATCAGTGGAGGGAATGAATTACAACTTGCCCAGTTATTGTTTTATTAAAAATAAATAAATAAAATTTAAAAAGATCTCATAACTTTACCGAATTTGGGGTGATATTTTTACTCAGTCAAAATAAATATTTCAACGGCAAGTATTTATTTTTAATATTTTGAATAACCGAATAAATCACTATATGTACTGTATCCATACACGGGTTGCACATTTTAAATTTAAATGAAAATAAATCAGCTTTTCAACGTTAATAGCAAACGTTGGGTTGCGTTTACATTACCTGGGAATTTGGACTTTCAAAATGACGTCACGCTCAGCGTTGTTGCTCTGGGCAGCGTCCAGGCTAACTGTTGTTAGCAAAACATTGTGTTTGTTTGCGTTGTGTTAATTCAAAGTCCCAACATGTTCAGGGACTGGAGTTGAAAAGCTGAGAGGATCGCGGTGCTAAGGAGATGCTAACAGTCCACGCTACAAGGCTGAAGCCTTTTGGGAAATCTGCTGTCGGGTTTATGGAAGTGCTTCTCCAAATACACCTTTTCGGATCGGTGATTTGAATTATAGGGACGTTCAAATTGTCTGCGTTGGCCTTGAAGTTAGACATTCTTCCTTTCCCGGCGGGACTCGAACGCATCATGAAAGTAGGTCAACCAAGCGAAGGCGGCTTTTATTTTCTGTCTCTCTGTTTCCGCCGGTGCTTCGTTTCCAGCTTGACTCTTTCCACGCTGCCGTATCGCCTACACATCCACTCTACGTCACTCTACGTCCTGTTTGTGTCTTTTCATAGGCTTTGAAGAGGGGCGGTGCTGTTGAGGGAACAGTACACGGAGTATTACATAACCACATTTCCCCCAGCAGAGAACTGAGCATTTAAATCTAACTCGGCAGCATGCAGGTACAAAAATACAACTCTGAAACCTGGACACATCTCTCTTATAATAAAACAATGTATTTGGCAGAAAACACGGCAATACTGCAAAATAAAACAAATTATCGTAAGTTTTTATTTCTAATTTTAGTACCTATAGACACAAATTCCTCGAAAGTATAAGACAATTTCCAGATGTTTCTGAAGTTTATACATAAAGTCATTCTGCAAATTGCATCTTGTATTTCACAATTCCTCAGGTGAATGTTTTTAATTCTATATTTTTGTTTCTCCATTTCTCGTGTTGTTTATTTTTATTGTTTATTATGTTGTAATTTATGTGAAACAATTGCAGAAGGAGCTTCTTCCGCCCTCTACTGGCCAACTAAGGTCACTTTTTTAGGTAATTGTGCAGTAATCACATATTGTCTTATTTGTTAAAGCTTCAATTTTTCAAAATACATCATATATAGAGGGAAAAAAATCTAATTCACATTTTAGATGGTGGATAATCTCAATGTTTTCACAGATTATCTGTCTCATATTGCACTGACAACATTATGAGTTTTATTCTCCTTTTGGGAAAAGTATTTTTTAATTGATAACCAAGGAAGAGATGAAACCGCAGAGAGATGAGATAATCCAGTTTATTTTTGTGATCAGAGTGTTGGAAAAGAAAAACTGCACAGGTAGCAGAAACCCATGGATTGCCTTTAATGATGTGAAACGGCGTTGATTCAAAACTCACTCCAGAACCAGGATCCAGGTCTAAGCTGAGCTCGGAGGGCATGCTTTGACAAAAACATGAGAAACGCAGAAATTAACCCAGGATCACAAATTAATCCAGGAATGAGGTCGTTCTGTGGGTTGCCATTTGTAAAGTTACAGTAAAAAACAAACAAAAACAGCAATAATTTGGTTTATTTAGGTTGTCATAGAGAGAAAAGGGTGTTTGTTTTTTAAAATCATATTTTCACCATATTAGCTACATGTCAGACTTTTTTTAGAAATTAAAACAATTTCTAATTCTGAAATTTTCAAGTTTTCCCCAGAAAAATTCTCATTAAGTTGATCTAAAAATTTCAGCATTTTTTCTCAAATTTTTTTATTTGTTTTTGTTTCAAACTCAGAAATTTCCAAGATTTTTTTCCAAGCAAATTTTCAAGTTTGCAAACTTAAAAACTTTCAAGTTGTTTTTCAAACAAGTTTTTTTTTCTAGAGCATTTTTGATTTTCGGAGATCAGAAAATTTCTTGTTTTTTCTGCAAAATGTTTGCAGAAATTTACTACTTTTTTCCATTTACTGACACAGCGACATAGAACTGACTGTCTAGATGACTGTGTTTGATTTGTGTGAACATAGATCTGTCTGTCATGTTGTTTAACATGAGCTGTAAAATGGAGGAATTAAACATGTTTGGTAAATAATTAACATTTCACATAAATCAGCTTTAGAAGGGAACAAGTTCATTTGTTCTTCTATATACAAGCGGAAACTCCAAATCTGGTGCATTTAATCATAATTTAAAATAATATTCAACTTTCAATCTGATTATTTATTTTCTTTGAACGTTTAAATAGATCTTTTACATTTTATTACTGAAAAAGGTATGATTTATTATACTTAAAGTGACTAATTTGATCAGGTCTGCTGGGCTTCTTTAAAATTCTGGACTAATCTTTGACTCTGATCCACTTCTTGCTTTGTGACTTTATTTGTTGCATAATGGCACCAAGGAAAGGAAGGAAGGATAAAAGGAAACAAGGAATGGAGGACAGGATGGAGGAAAGAAGAAAGGAAGAAAAAAGAGAGAAGAAATGAAATGAGGGAAAATGTAAAGGAGGGATGGATTGAGTAAAGGTGAAAGTTGGAGGGAGAGGAATTCAAAGGAATAAAAGTCTGAAAATATAAATATGTCTGCAAATTTCATGTTTTATTTTCCCAAATTCCAGGAGCACTGATTCAAGTGCTCCTGGTTGCCCCCTGGTGGTCAAACAATGCAATAACACAAAATCTTACCAAGTATTTTGTTGTAGTTTTTACAGTGAACAGCTTCCTTCACCAGAAATAAGACAAAGCTAACTTACAAACTTGCAAAATGCACTGATTTAAAAACATAAATTAGCCTACTGTAATTTATTTAGTCAATTTTTAATTTTGCCTGCTCAACAATAAACTTTAATATTTTCATCAATATTAAAGCTGCAGTGTGTAAATTTTACAAAAATTTCATATTTTTTACATATTTTCTAAAACTGTCACCATGTTGTAACAGGTTGTTATCAGGCAGATAATTTGTGGAAAGGTCGACCTCCTCCTCCGAGATGCTATTGGTGTCTGAAGAAAACCACCAAAAACAACCAATCAGAGCGAGGAGGAGGATCTTAGCGCTGTCAATCAACCTCATGTAGTCATTGCTAAATGTGCTAAAGGCAGAGAAACAATTTACTATTAAAAGAAACTTATTTATCTGGTGTCATCAGTGGCTATACTAACTAGCATTAGCATTGACAACACAATCTGCTTGTTCAGGGTAGCAGAGACGCATAAAAGCTTGATTGACAACGCTAAGACCCGCCTCCTGACTCTGATTGGTTGTTTCTTGCAAGAACTGGGAGAAAATATTTTTTTCACAAATTATGTCTCATAAACTGACGGTGAACGTTTTAACAAAAATGTAAAAATCAAAACATTTTAAAAATAGAAGTTACAACTAGCAACTTTAAGCAATAACTGACCACTATAAGTTGCTGAAAAGTTACTTGTAAGTTTTATCTTATTTAAGAAATTTGCTCTAGAAACTAAAGCAAAAATAGTTGGAAATATTTTGTGTTTTTTCAGTGTGGCGCTGCTAAGCTGTGGCATATTTTGCTTATAACTCTGGCCGGCTCCCTTTAAGGCTTCTAACCTGCACCTTAAATTCAAACAGAAGTGATTCAGATTTAAAGGTTTCTGTTTCCGACGCTCGCAGCCGTGCACTGTGGATTTATTGGATGTGCAAAATGTTGCAAGAGGCAGATCAGGTGACAGTGATGCTACACCGTGACGGGCTCGTGTGTGTGTGTGTGTGTGTGTGTGTGTGTGTGTGTGTGTGTGTGTGTGTGTGTGTGTGTGTGTGTGTGTGTGTGTGTGTGTGTGTGTGTGTGTGTGTGTGTGTGTGTGTGTGTGCAGGATGAACCAGGACCGCTCTGACAAAAACACCAAATAAAAACACAGTGACATTTTCAGGCTCCCTAAACAGAAGACAGTTTTTATACAATAGAAGCTTCTTCATATATTAATAATCTTCGTTTTTTTTCCCTCCTCTGTCGCTGCAGAGTCATTTTCTCCCGTTTGCGTTTATAGAGCTTTTAATATTTACAGTATAAATTACTACGCAGTCCTGTGGCAAAAACAAATAAAGCAAACGGCCGTGGCTTTGCTGCACGATGAAACCGAGGCTTTGCTGAGGAAGAGGAGCAGAAAGAAGGCGGAGAATTCGTCCTGAACGCTGCAGCGTGTGGATCCAGCTCAACCAAACCGAGAAACGCTCAACCAGACACAAAGATGGAGGAGGAAAGTATAAAACCCAGACAAAACACATGATCTGAGAGTCACTTTGTAACTGTTTCTCATTGAAAACATGAAGAAAAAAGAAAGTACACCCATTTTGAACTCTCCAGATTTTTGTTTTGCTTCTCAGAGAGAACGCTCGGTTTCACCGGGAGAACGTCCAAACTTAATCTGAGAGCAGAATAACACAGAAAAACTGTGGAAAAACTAAGTACACCCCTTGACCTAACTTCATCCGATCACAGCAGAGAAACTTTTGAGATTTGTTCCAGCAGACCTGGAGCCCAGAGCATCACTCCTCCTCCACCATGCTTCAGATTCAACATTATTCCATTTAACTTCAGCTGAAACTAACAATTACTATAAATAAAAATTATTTTGACCATTAATTAGATTAAAAAATTGGCACATTCTGCAGATTTTTTATGAACCGCCAAAGATTATTTTATACAATGTCAGAAAAACATAAAAATGCAAATAAGAAAATAAACATTTTGGATCCTAAATTGCAATAGCAGAATTCTTTAAATTGTTATTTTTAAACTGCAGCTGAAACTCCGGTAAACGAAGGGTGTATTTACTTTTTCATCACTCAGATTGTATATTTAGGATTTGTTTTTGTGTAATAAGTAACGACTGTGTTGCACCTGATATGTTTCTCCCCTGAGGTTGGATTTAAATAGTTAAAGAGGGTGTACTTTCTTTTTCTGGCATCTGTGTTAGCAGTCAGTATCTAACCAGCAGCAGGAAGCAGTCAGGGTGATCTGTGTTTGGACAATCAGGGGAAATCTTGGTAATAACAAATGGCTTCTACAGATTGAACTTAAAGTAAAAAGTTAAAGTTTTAAGCACATTTAAAACATAAATTTGGGCATTTTAAAGGATTTCAGTCAAATTTCCTGTTCTCAGAGTTTTCACCTGAAATCTGACTCCCGTCTGCTGCAGGTAAGATACCACCAGCTCAAAACTGTCCTGCATAACCGCGGTTCTCTAATACCGACTTGTAAGTTTTGCATAAAATGGAAATAAATATGAGATTTTCCTCCAGTGAAAGTCCAGGAGGGTCAGAGTCAATTTCCACCTCAGAGTTTCAGCGACCAGAGACACTGAGGGTTCGGTTCTGGTCGTTGGCCCCAAAAGGAGGTTCAAGAAGAGGAACAGAGAACTGAAACTGAGGGACGAGTGCAAAGCTTGTCCTCCAGCTATACCACCGTTCCGCTCGGAGAGTTCCCGTTCTGCGCTGCCAGGTTCTGAACAAGAGAGGAAAACAGAATCAGCTGCAGATCTGACATCAATGAAGCTCTAAACTTTTATTCTTCCTTCTTCTTTAATTCCTGCTTAAACTGCAGCAGGTTCCTGACATCCAGGGAGACATTTTATAGAAAACACTTTGAAACATCTTCAGTTTGAAAAGTCAAAACATTTCTAGTCAAAAATCTGAATTTTCTTTAACTTATTGAAATTTTCTACAAAAAAAAGAAGAAAGAGTTGGAAAGTCAAAAATTTGCTAGAAAAAAATACAAAACTGAAATTAATCTCAGAAATATTTGAGAAAAAGACAAGAAAATTGAACATTTTCTTTTTAAAAAAAATAACATTTTGAGGTTGAGCTAAAAAAATGTTTTTGAGTTTCAAAGTTGAATGTTTTTATTTGTTTTTTCCTATAAAATTTCTAATTCAGTCTCAAAATTTCAGATTTTTCCAGCAACTTTCACAACTTTTGAAGCTCAGAAACTTTAAGGTTTTTCTAGAACATTTTTGAGCATAGAAATGATTTTGATGTAAATTTACTCCAGTTGTTTGTATCTAATGCTTTGTTCTGTTCCTCACGGGAACATTTCCAGCTGTTGACCTCTGAACTTTGACCTCACAGCTCAGCAGGAACCTTAAACTGCAGCGTTTGGCTGCAGTTTGGCTGCAGCGTTTGGCTGCAGCGTTTGGCTGCAGCGTTTGGCTGCAGTTTGGCTGCAGAGCCTCGGTGGAGACGTACCGTCTTGCCCGGCCGCGCCCAGGTGCAGATCAGGCCCTCCTGGCAGGCTGTGATGATGCAGTCGTCCATGAACACCAGGACGGTCAGCCTCTCGTGTGCGATCTTCTTGCAGACCAGCGGCTCCAGCAGCGGTACTTCGTGCATGCGGGGGCAGAGCGTCGTGCCCAGCACCTTGGCGCCGTCCAGCCGGTTGCTGCGGGGGGCGACGTTGATCTTGTCGTTGCTCTTGCTGATGTTGCCCAGGCTGTGGTAGCGCTTGTGCTCCTTCTCCACGCTGCCGCTCCCGGACTTGTCCGACTTGCGCTCCTGCAGGGACAACGTGGCGAAGCGGCCGATGCTGAAGGGGGCGCTGTTGCCCCCGCCGCCGCCGCCCCCTCCTGCGCTCACACCTCCGCCGCCCTCGGAGGCGCCCGGACCCTTGGAGGCGTTCGCCACCGCCGGGTGGGGCAGGGAGTTTGAGCGGGACAGGGAGCGGGGCAGCAGCAGGGGGAGCGCAGGCGGGTTGGCGCTGCCGGTGTTGGCGCCCGGCGGGTGATGGTGCCCCTCCACGCCGCCGATGCCGCCGCCGCCAGAGCTGCTGTTGACCCCGCTGCTGCCGGAGTTTGGCAGCGAGGGGCCGAAGGTGTTGGTGAAGGCGCGGGACAGGGGCAGGCGGGGGTACAGCACGTCGTCCGTCAGGTCCCACAGACAGAACTGCGTGTCCTGACCCACCGAGCCGAAGCGGTACGTGACGGACGGCGAGCCGCCGCCTTTCGAGCTGTGGCGCGAGAGCCGCGACAGCGTGCTGCTCGTCCGCACCCGGCCGAAATGCGTGGAGTTATTCTGCGCCCCCTGGTGGAGGTCTTCCTCGCTGCCGCTGAGCTCCATCGGCTCGTCGTCCTCCAGCGAAGTGGTGAAGGGGTCGAACGCCACCACGTTGACCCACGACTTGTGGCCGTGGCCGCGCGCCACCACTCGGCTCTCGGCGAACGACCAGACGGTCACCAGGTCGTCCTCGCCGCCGGTGGCCAGGTACTTCCCGTCGGGGCTCCAGGAAACGCAGAGCAGCCCGCCGAAGTAGCTCTTCATCACACCCTGCAGCTCCATGGAGTCGAAGTGGAAGACGCGCAGGCAGCCGTCCTGACCCACGCACGCCACGTGAACGCCGTCCGGCGAGAAGGCGAACTCGTTCAGGCCGCCCTCGCCCACCGCCCACCGCAGCAGGGGGTTGCGCGGCGTCTTGCTCTTGCAGGCGTAGACGGCGAAGCCCTCGCCCTGCCGCAGCAGCGAGTACTGCGGAGCCGTGGTTCCACACGGATGATCCACGTTGTACAGGTAGAGGTGACCGCTGGCGTGGGAGGCCAGGAACAGGTTCTCCGACTTGGGCAGCCATTTTAGACACGTCACCTTGGATTTGTCGATCAGCCTCTTGAGGACGAGAAGGAAATCCCACAAAGTTGGTTTGTTATAACAATTAGAAAAACACACCGATTACACAATGAAAAGTATGTGACTTATGCTGTGCATTTAAGATGTGACACTGATGAACAGGAAGGAGTTTTTATAAATGTTGTCATGAAGTGACATCCAGTAAATGAAACAGGTTTAGTTCTACTAGCAGAACATTTCACTGAAGACATGGGAAAATATCATGAGTGAAATAATCAGCCAGTGGAGCTGAACTTCCCCTCAAACTGGATGAATGTCAGAAGTCGTACCTCCTCGTTGAAGAGCTTACTGGTTTCCTTCTTGATGGGGTCGAGGTACTGGACCTGGCCAGCGGAGAAGCCCACGATGAGCGCCACGCTCTCCGCCGTGGCCGAGTACTGGTTGAAGTCGTGGCACGTCGGCTGGGTCCCCTTGTAGATCCTCTTGTCTATGGGTTTACTGAGGTCCACGGCCTGCAGGGCAGAAAGGTCACTGAGGAGAAACTCCTGGTCCACAGCGGCTGCAAAGCCACTGAGCACAGAACCCAGGAAATAACTGAGCTTCATAGGAAGAAGAAAAAGCAGCAAAGCTTCTTGTTGTAGGATGAGGAGACCTGGTGCAGTAATTAATAATTAATCACATGACTTTCATGACGAATCGTTTTCCTCTTCCTACCAAAAACTGGATGATAAAAATCTTCAGCTTTCTGCTTTGGACTCAATAAACCTTATTTTACTGAGACTTCAGAATTCATTTCATTTGTTGTTTTACTCATTTATTTTAGATATTTAAAATGTTTTCCAGTGTGAAATGATCATTAAAAATGTTAAGTTTATTGGTCAGTCAGACCATGTTCTTGCATTATTACCATTATAAAAATAAAGATATCATTTATTGCGATAACTTCTGGGACAATTTATCAGTATCAAAATGGATGTATTTTACAAAACTGCAGTGGAAAGTTATTTAAACCGCCAGATGTTACCACTGGCAGAAATGATGAAGAAGACAGAAAGTAGCAGGATGATGACGGCAGCCGCTCACAAGTAGGCGGGGCTTGTTGCTTTCTCACCTAAATAATCATCCTTTGATTGGCTGATAGGTTATGAGTGCCATGGTTGAACTACTGATTTATCTCCTACCACTTCCTGTCTTCTTCTTTGTTGTTTTCGCCAGTAGTAACATCTGGCTGTTGATCCCATGACTCAGTAGTAACATCTGGCTGTTGATCCCATGACTCATCTGATGTGGAAAAAATTATTTCTGTTGCACTTTCTATTCAAAAACCATCTGATCCTACAGCATTAAAGGCTTTTATTCAAACAACACAATTTTGTTTTTAAATGTTTCAATTCAGCAAAGGAATTTTCTTCATGTAAATTTGCTCAATTTTACATTAATGGACATGCAGTTTGTGAGAGCTCAGCTGCACCAAAAAACAAAAACAAACCATCATCCTCCTACTTCCTGTCGTCTTCTTTGTCGTTTCTCCCAGTAGTAAGATCTGGATGGTGATCTGGAAGTGTTTCTATTACAGTTTTCCCAAATACAAAGATAGATGGATGTAAATATCCTCCTCCTTTCGGAGGTTGAGTGTTTCCCTTAAGAAACTGGATTTTCGATGTTCTGTTATGGTGATTATGGTTCATTTAAACGCAGCAGTGAGGATTTCCGCTGGATCCTCCTGCAGCATCACCGGGGCCCTCGGACTCTGCATCCATTTTGGCCCCTCATCCAGGTTAGCAGGCTGTGCTAAAGCTGGGCTCACCTTCTTGATGTTGGTGTAGGTGTAGAAATACAGCTCCCTGCCGATGTTGAAGCAGACCCGCTCCGACTCCTCGCTCGGGTCTTCGGGCTGCAGCTTCACCATGGAGACCCGGACAGGCGGCAGGAAGCCCGCCGGGGAGGAGTTGGCCGCCGCATTGGAGGAGGACGAGGCTGCGGCGGCCCCGGGCCCCTGCAGCAGCCCGACCCCTGCGCCGGGGATCGGTCCGGGTCCTGCGCCGGGCCCCAGCGTGGCTCCGGCGGCCGGGCCCCGCGGCAGGCCGCCCCGCTGCTGCGAGTCGGAGAGGGTGAGCAGCTTGTAGAAGCCCTCTCTGGTCCGGAACTGGGATTTAATCTCATTGATATCCTTCAGAGCGCCGCCATCTCCGGCCATGTTTAGTGCAAAGCGCCGCACAGGAAACGCTGGTTCTGACCTGGAAACAAAAACACCGCGACGGGAGGAAAAACAGGAGAACCGAATCAGGACAGATGGGGATGGAAGAGAGCAGCAGCCGAGCTCAGCCGGGCCCGCTCCAGCACGCCAGGTCCGGTCCGGTGCATCCTACAGCCGCGCCGCCGCCGCCTGCAGCCGAACCCCGCGGAGGAAGCTGCTCTGCGCGGGAGCGAGCGGCAGCATCCTCCCGCCGGCTTCCAGTGTGCGTGGAGTGCGTGAGGCGCGGTGGGTCAACTGCTGCTGCTGCTGCGGGTCGGCCTGGCGCTGCGTCGGAGGTCCGAGGGAGGGCGGGAAGAGACGAGACATCCGGGCTGGGTCAGCCCGCGGCACCGAACCGGAGCAGCTGGGAAACCGGCGGTCCAATTAAAACACATGGAAAACAATAAAACAACAAAAGCCGCAGCGCGTGAGGGCTGAGGATGGACAAGAGCAAACATCAGCCAAAAATCTGAAATGTTCATGAAAACATGAACATGTGAAAAGCTCATTTTGAAAGAAAAAAATAACATGAATCATCTGAGAAAAATTTTCCATTTTTTTTATTAGTCTCAAAAGTTTTCTAGAAGAACTCAAGAATTTTTATAGTTAAAAAGTTTAAAAATTTTCTGGAAAAAAACTCGTAAATTTTGAGATCAATCTCCAAAAATTTCTACAGAAAATATTGAAATTTGTGAGATCCAACAATCTAAAACTTTTCTAGAAAAAAATATTTTTACTCTGAAAAAATTGAGAAAAAAACTTTGAGAAGTAAAAAAAATGGCAGGATTTTAGATTCATATCATAGGTTTTAGGTTTTCTAGAAAAAATGGCAATTTCTGAGTTTTAAAACTTGAAAATTTGCTAGAAAATGATCAAAATTTTAGAGTAAGAACAATTTATCAATTACTGCTAAATTGGAGCTGTAAAATTTGAAACAAAAAAATGAAAATGAACAGTCTTTAAACTGAAAAAAATATTTTAAACTCAAAAAATTTAAACAGAAAAAAGTTCAAAACTACTTTTCAGATTCACGGGTTTTAATTTTTTTTTAACTAATATTTTGGCCCCAATTTAGCTCCATACGGCTCCTCTCCCATCCCTTAAAATGACACTCATCCAGCCTCTTGTTGTATTATTTATCTTTATTAGAGTGTAACGGCAGTAACACACACACGATGCAACACTGACACACAAGCTCAGGTCACACAACGCAGCTCAGCAGCTTGTTTGTGGAAATGTACGGAAGCCATTTTGTCAGTCCCTGCAGGCTGCGGTCAATAACTGTGCAGCAAGGAGGCTGCAGTGGGACCTTCTTCACTCATTTTCAGGGTTTTCTCAGTTCTCTGGTGTCTCCAGAGCGGAAAAGAGCATAAATAGAGAGCAGGCTCCCTCTGACCGAGGCAGAAGAGCTGCAGACCAACCGCCTCTGCGTGTCGTCACGTCGTCCTCTGCCTCCGCATAAGATACAGTCGCAGCAAATGTTCAACAAATGTTCTGCCTGCTGTTTTTTTGTCTGTTTTTCGTTTCCAGCTGGTTTCTGGGAAACAGGAAGTTGTCGCGGCGCAGCGTCAGGGCAGCAGGACGTAGTTCTCGGCAACTTCCAGGAGGTAAAGGTTGGAGAGTCCGAGCTGGTCCTCGACCTGATGCGTCTCCAGAACCACCATCCTGCTGGACAAAACACATTTAAATCATTTAAACTAGCTAACATGCTTCACTCTACAAAAAACACTTTACAAAATGATAAAAAAAAACACAGTTTCAACTCACTATCATGTGATAATTTATTATTAACAGTCTTGTGAAAGTATTCTGGGTAAACAAATGTAACACAATGTTTATGTTTGCCAATTTCAATAATGTTGCAAAAGATATGGAATGGAAGACAACCTTTATTTCAAGAGCAAAGAAAGACAAGATACTAAATTGTCACAAAAACAAACAAAAAAAAGAGTTCTTGCTAAATTTTCTGGCATTTAGAAAATAAAACAACATTTTGTGATTCTGTCCTAAAATAAGAAAAGTTTATTCTGATTTAACTAGACGGTGAGAAAAACTGTCTATTTATTGGTGCATGAAAATATTTGGTTTCAAACAAGTAATTTTACCCAAATTTAGGCTTTTAATCCAACATCAAGAATTGCACTTTAATACAAAACTGAGCAGTTTGAATATCAGGAACTTTCAAGGACTTTATTCAGAAATCAAGCACTTTCCAAACCCTGAAAACCCAAAATTCAGGGAATCAAGCACCAATATGAACTCTGAACTTGAAACATAAAGATACCCTGGAATATCGAGTGTTTTTCTTTTTCGTCAATAAATATTTAGTATCGAATGAGAACGATACTAAAAACAATAATTAAAGAAACAGATGAAATGCTGCTTGTAGGGGAGATATTATGTGTTTCCAGGCGCACAGAGTCATTTCATAGCACAACAGAGTAACTATGTAGAAATGCTCAGTGGGTACAGAAAGTATTCAGACCCTTTTAAAAATCTAAATAAATAAAGTTCAAATTATTTCTCAGCGTCTGGACAGAAAAACCCCAAAGTGTAGAACTTTCTGCAAATTTATCAAGAAAGAAAACTCGACTATTATTGACAGAAACAGAAACCAACATGGCCGCCGTCCCTCACAATGTGAGAGCGCAGCAGGTGAACGACTCACCTGTCTGACTTCACTATCCTGTAGATCTTCCTGTGATCCGTCATTTCGTCCAGAACCTCAGAGAAACTTTTCGTTCTCCTCTGCCAGCCGTGACGCCAAACAGCCAGCAGTGTGTCTTCAAAATACACTGGAGACAAAAATGTACCTTTAATATGTGTATGTATTCAGAATGAAGGAGTTTAGAACAGCTGCATGGTTTCTAAACTCCTTCAGGAAGTATTTTGGCCTTTCAGTGAGAGTAATAATAGTTAACTGTTCAGTGTCTATCAGCTGATTGATGGCTTTTCTCACCTATAGATTCAACGTCATGAGAGAAAACGGTTTCCTGAGGATGTCGGTTCGTCTTCAGCTCTCCGTCCAGGTTGACGACTTGAACCGACCCTGCAGGAAAAACCCGAGTTAAAAAGAGGCGAAAACCAAGGATCTGAAAGCAGAGCGCAGACGAAAGAGGAGGAGAAAAATACAGAAGAATGAAAATGAACAGAACAAATTATACAGTGGAAAAGAAAAATGTATAAAATATAAAGAAAAAATAAGAAAAAAAGAACAAATTATAAAATATCAGAAAATTGAAACAAAAAATAAAGGAAAAATCCAAATTTAAAAAATAGAAAAACAGGAAAAAACTGATTAAATAAAAAAACTGAAAAAATACAGAAAAGAAAATAAAGTAAGAAAGGAGAAGAAAGAAAAAAAATAGAAAAAATAATTTAAAATAAAACAGAAAAAAATAGAAACATTTAAGAAAAACTATTAAAGGAAAGTATCTGACAATAAAAAACAAAAAGAGAGAATGAAAAAAGAAAATGAAGAAAATACTGAGAAAGGTTAGCTACAATCCAAGATGGCCGACTTCATATTTGTTGTAGAGTGTAGGCGCAAGAGACTTTAACTAGACCTTGGGAAATTTACTACCTTTACCATAAATTTAACTGAATACGACTGACTGGAAAATTTGCTGAGTGTTTGTTTATATTTAAGCTTAAAAAAAGCTAATTTATTTGACAGAAGGACAATAATAATAAGCAGAAAATCATGCAGATAATTTTCACATCAGATCTGCTTCAGTTAGTTTGAATGACCTTTTACAGTTTCTAATTTTTATGAGTTAATACTAAATATTCTGTTTAGTTTCAGTTTTTTATATACTTAGGTTCATTTTTTGGTGCAGAATTGAAAAAGGTTAAATTATTGTGATTATGTACATATAGTTTGGTAATGAATCCTAAACAGATGACAGTATTTTCAATAAATATAATTGATTACTGTTGAAAGTCGGCTGACTGGAGTTTCATCCTGATGTTTGCTGCCACCATTTTGAAGCACAGAGTGCCATAAATTAACATAAGTTGGTTGTGTGGGGAAAAAAAGGCTGATAATCAGGTTCATAGACACAAAAACAAAGGATATGCCATCAATAATTTCAGCATGTAGTTTTGTCATGTCGTCAGTGTTATTACAGTAACCGTGGGACTTACTCTCCATGAGCACCAGCAGCGAGTTTACGTCCAGCTGGTTGACCTGGACGACGTCGGGACAAGGCTTCTCTGTGGGGACAGAAACGCCGTCAGCGACTCGACGCAACGGCTGCTGGGAAACGTCCTGAGGGGAGCGGCAGCTCACCTGAGCCGGATTTGAAGAACCAGGACGTGTTGGAGTTCAGGTTGATGTATTCCAAGCTGACTGGAGCGCCGGGGCTGCAGCCGCGCGACACGCCGATGCACACCATGGGATACTCCTGCAGCGGCGGCACCACCATCTCAAACACCCGCAGGGGGCTGGGCAGCGGGAAGTCGAAATGCTGCGAGGCAGGGAGACAGCGTTCACTGAATCAGGCCTCATCTCTGGGACACATCGATTATCCAAACACAAACATGTTTTACCCAATTTTTTAACTCAATTAATCATTAGAATAACCGATTAATCATTAGAATAACCGATTAATCATCATTATTAAATGATTCAATTAATCATTAAATAACCAATTAATCATTAGAATAACTGATTAATCATTAGAATAACCGATTAATCATTAGAGTAATGAATTAATCATTGGAATAACCGATTAATCATTAGAGTAATGAATTAATCATTAGAATAACCGATTAATCATTAGAATAATGGATTAAAATAATTGTTCATTGCCGTTTGATAATTGTTAGAAAACTTTTCTGATAGTTTTCTAACCCTCGTTAGCGCATCTCCTCTGAGTTCCTGTGGTTTATCTGAACTGTGGCGTTTAAATGCGCGTACCTTGATTAGCATGAACTTGTGCATCGGCTCGTACCACTGCAGCAGAACCACGCTGGATTCCAGAGCGCAGCAGAGGAACAGGTTTCCCCCTGGAAAATCAAAAACAGCACAGACGCTCTGAGTTTTCATCTGAAACACGTCAAAAATCCGTCTTTGCAAATGCTTGTAGATTAAAATAAAAAATCCCGTTCAGTGACTCGGGTTTTCCTGCTCACCGACGGCGCAGGTCTTGCAGCCCTTAGTATCCGGTATTTTGCTCGTCACCGGACATTTTCTAAGCAAAACACAGTTTTAATGTGGCGAATTCTTCCATCTTTTCACTGTGAAATAAAATGGCGGCTGAAATACAGCCCTCCGTTACCTTGACAGCAGCCTGTGAGTCGGTAAGGGAACCATCCGCTGGTCTTTCCTGGCCTGTTCGTATAATTCTTTTAGTGAGTGCGAGTGGAGCTGCGACGATTTAC